TCGCTGAGTGTGGAGCTCACTAGTTTTAGATAAGCTGGCTGACCAGCAAGTCAAAGCGGTCCTCACTTCCTAGAAATGCCTGGGTTACAAATGTATGTGTGCCCATGCCCAGCTTTTTACGTGGGTTGTTGGACATCTAAATTCAGTTCCGGTCTGCACAATTGCTGTTACTTACAGAGTCATCCTTTCGTCCCCAACGTTTTCTTTTATCCTAGATTTTAGGGCTTGCTCTGCTGAAGTCAAGCTCAAGGAAGTTCAATTTTTCAGGATTAACAGAAGGGGAGTTTGTTCCCCCTCTCGTTTCCTTTCTCATACCCTTTCCTTTTTCTTTGGCCCCCTCAAAGCAAAGGCTGCCCCAGTTTACTGGTCTCTGTAGCTCACCTCCTGGGACACTGCTCTGCTCTGACTGCCAATCTCTATCCCCTCTTTTTTTTCAGTCTATGTTTAATATCTTTGCCACCATCACCCCCTTTTGTTTCTTTTGCTTGACCTTCTGTCTATGCCCCCACTTTTCTAGCAACCTAACCTTAATATCTAGTCGAACTGTGTTTGCTTTCTGTGTTTTTTTTTCTTCCCGCAATAACTGGTATATTAGTACACAGGGTCCCTTTACACCTTAAGACAATTGGTGTTCAAGGAGTGATTGTTTTGGAAACAACTGCTACTCCACTTTTATAATGGGCTTCCTAATGAATAGTGGCTGTTGTTGCAGATAGTACTCCATTTTCAAGGCAGGACTGGGGATGAGGCCTGGTGCCCTGAACAGCAATCTAACAGAGGAAGCCAGCACCTCAGTGCAGCTATAACCTAGTCTCTCCTAAACACTGCAAATGCATCCACTCAAAGAAGAAAGGCAACAAGAGGCGGGGGGGGGGGGGCTTAACCTAATAATTTCCAAGATGAGGAAGCCCCCAAACAAAAGTATAAGTAACATTAAAAACCGAGATTCCTCCTTCCCAATTCCAAAATAACTCCCAATGAGAGCAATACTGTAAATGGAAGTTTCTGTTCTGTCCAGTCCCACAGCCAGTCAGTCCCAAATAAACACAGAGGCTTATATTAATTATAAACTGTACAGCCTATTGCTCAGGCTTATTACTAACTAGCTCTTATGACTTATATCTACCCATAATTCTTGTCTATGTTTAGCCATGTGGCTTGGTAGCTTTTCTCTATAAGGAAGTCACATCTTGCCTCCTCTACATCTAGATGGTGACTGACTCTCTGCCTTTCCTGTTCCCAGAATTCTCCTAGTCTGGATGCCCTGCCTATATACTTCCTGCCTGGCTACTGGCCAATCAGCATTTTATTAAACTAATATGAGTGACAAATCTTTACAGTTTCAGAAGTTTAGTTCATTATCCTCATGGTGAGAAGCATGTCAGCACACAGGCAGACACGGTGCTGGAGGAGGAGATGAGAGTTCTACATCTGGATCTACAGAGAGCAGGAAGAGAACAGCCACTTGGCCTGGCAAGCCCACGCCCAGTGACACACTTCTTCCAACATGGCCACACCTCTTAACTCCTTTCCAACTGTGCCACTCTCTGGTGACCAAGTATTCAAATCTATGGTCCTATGGGGCCATTCTCATTCAAACCACCACAGAGGGGATCCCCAGATCTTTTTGTCCCTCTTTACAATGGCTAAATTCCCCCTTTCTGATTTCCACTATTAATCTGGCTCTTTTAATTTTCTTTACAGAGGATGGGTGACTGAAATAGGCCAGAGGCACAGGCTGTAAACACTAGGAGTGGAGGTCTTTAAACAAGGATTGGAGTTTTCTGGAGATGGGGACGATACATATTAAAACCTAATGATAATTTATTCATTCATAAGCTTTTTAAATATACATAAATACATTAATACTAATATATTAACTACCAATTGATATGATGATCATATATTAATGTTAATGTATTGATAAAATGTCAACTATAAATTTAAAACTTATAAATGAATATGTTCCCAGTAGGCTTTTAGATATATATCTATAGAGCTTATAAATAAACATATATGTATACACATAAATACATGCACACATACATGCATATCTATATATATTTATAGATAGAGAGAGCTTAACATGCAGCTAGGTAATATTGCCCCAAGAAGCCATGGGTTTAAGTGACAATTTCAATGCCAAGTGTAAGATGTCTCCTTGTGAGTCACACACAACACCAGTTATTGCCATTGCTGATGGTTGCTCAACAGAACTGAATGAAAGACCTACTACTGAATGATGTGGGATGTCCTTCTGTATATATACTGCTTTAATTGGTTGATGAATAAAGCTGTTTTGGTCAATGGCTTAGCAGAGTAAAGCCAGACAGGAAACCCAAACAGATATAGAAAGAGAAGGCAGACTCACAGGAGGAGAAAGACGCCAGAACATTACTGGCAAGTCACAGCCCCATGACAATACACAGATTAATAGAAATGGGTTAATTTAAGTTGTAAGTGCTAGCTAGAAACATGCCTGAGCTATTGGCCAAACAGTGTTGTAATTAATATACTTTCTGTGTGATTATTCGGGTCTTGGAAGCCAGGAAACAAAAGCGCAGTCTCAGTCCACAGCTGAGAAACCACAAACTGTGCTTTCAGGACACATGAAATCAAGCTGGAACTCAGCGGGAAGTCCTCCAAGCTGGCAGCATTTGAAGGTGCTATGCAGGCTTCTGGGGAAGAAAAGTCATCAAAGGTCTTACCTAGCTGTGAACCCCTCAAGTTACAATGACTTGCTGAGCAAGACATGTCCACTGGTACAACAGCGGTGTGACTATTATGGGAATAAGCAGTCACTTGGTGATAAGATTTGAAGACCACTTCACTGGAGGGAGCCCATGCCTAGTTCAGTAATCCTGGTCAAGAACTTATGGGTGGGGATGTCATAGACCCTACTGCTGCTCATATGCACACTTCTGTCCAACTGCCTCTAAATACCTATCCTTATATTCAAGACATGCACTAATACCAGTCTTCAGAGAAGCATCTCTTTTAATAAGCAGTGACTAAGGTAGACTCACAACTGGCAGTGTGAGAGTAGGTGCCCATTGAAGGTTCATCCCCCAATAGGGCATTAGGACCCATTTCGAGGCTCTGGTAACATTTTCTGAAGATGGGGCATAAAGAGTGTAATAGCTGGAGGATGGGGAGGAGGGCTGCAGACTAGACGTGGCTGGGGTTACATGCACAAGACCTGCCCTGGATTGGGCCTGTTGACGTCTCATCATGGAGGATGGGCTCTTAAGGCCCCACCCCTCAGTGATGTTGTGGCCACTGGGAGGAGGGGGATCATTTTCTTCAGTGGTGTAGCCACACATGGCTCACGCTTCAGTAAATCAGCCCCCACCCATATTCATACACACAATTCTAATTAAACTCAGTGTGTCACATACACACACAAAGTAGGAGAGAACTGTTGGGTTTCATGGGGAGGCATGCAGAGCTCAATGGAAGAGTCAAAGTTATCAAAATCCATCACATACACGTTATTAAATTGTCCAGAAAAAATGTTTCACACTCACTCTCTGTTCTCCTGTGATACCATTTTCTCCATGTCTTGGGAATCTTCATAGTCTAGGCAGCTTGCTTCTCCAGGACTCCATTCTATTGTATTCTAATTGTTCTCATTGTTACCACTTATATCTTGAGACAAGCAAACTTTCATAGTCTTGGTCAACATTTCTTATCGTCAACATGGGGATAACTATCGCACCTAGTTGGCAGATGTCCAGCGAAATGTAGTAACTCACACACACAGATCGCCTGGCGTATGGGATAACGAATTCCGGCGCTACAGCTGCCACTTCCCATCTATTTAACGGTGAGCTCTGGGGGCGTCTGTGTTGTGTCTGAAGATGTTCAGATAAGAGCTGTATGTGTGCTGATTGGCTTTATGTCAACTTGACACAAGTCAGAGTCAATAGAGAAAATGGCCCCACAGACTGGCCCATAGTGCATTTTATTGATTGATGTGGGAGGGTCCAGCTCACCCCTGGGTGCCTTCGGAAAAGGCTGAGAAAGCCTCCAGCAACAAGCCAATAGGCAGCACTCCTCCATGGCTTCTGAGTCAGCTCCTGCTTCCAAATTTCTGTCCTATAGCAACAGTAAATGGTAGATTGTAGTGTGGAACTGTAAGCAGAAATAAATCCTTTCCTCTCCAAGTCGCTTTTGGTTATCGTGTGCTATTGTTGCAACAGAAACCCAGCTAAAACAGTGTTGAAAGAAGCCAAAGTACACTTCTCTCATGTGCATTTAAACATGGACTCTAATTTGATACTATCCTCAGGTTGAAATTGTTATTTAACCTAGTGCCTTTGGGTATTTTGTTTTTGTGAGATATTGAACATGAATATTATAATTTTGTAAAGTACAGTTTCTGCAAATTAAAATAAGCAAGTTTATTATCTATTTGGATGCTAGAGGCGTTTTGCTCTTACCTAACATATTTTAATAGACTTATTTAAGATAGATTCTCATTGTCTTTATTTTATGCCTACTCAATGTGCCCAAGGACAGGGTCAAGCATTGTCTGTGTGTTTTGGGATGAAAAGTAAAGCAGACTGCCTGCTGTCGGTGGACCTCCCAATCCACTGAGTATTTCTTTGTGGGCCCTAGGTCTCTGGATTGACCTGGAGGACATGTAGAAAGCATGAGATTTGTGATAAGGCTTAAAAAAAACTTAAATGTATGATAAATATCTTTAAGACTGACTGACAAAAAGGCTCAGAGAAGCCTAATTAGAATACTAAATAAAATGGGATGCCAACACAACAGAAAGGCCAACTGTCATGCTTATCTCTTCTCAAGCTTGCCAATCCCCACTGTGTATTTAGACTTACAGCCTGGGAGCTAATTCTTGAGACGAATTCTTCTCTTCTCTATCTATATACACCTTGCTGGTTTTCTGAAGAGTCCTAACTCACCTATAGAAAATAACGCATAAAATTAAGTTATCAACAAATCTATAATCACTTCAATTAAAGAAAACAACTTGGTAATACGAGTATCCAGTATATTTTTCTATATGTGTATGTACATGTAGTTATACATGTTAGATAACAGATAAGCAAAAATATATGTACAATTATGTTACCAGTAAATAAGAATCCTTGACGCTCATTTTTCTTCTCATTCTCTTTCATTAACATTCTTGTTTATATAGAATTAAGAAAATACAAATGGGAGAAATTACTGCAATTTTAAGTTTCAAAATTATTATTTAGTTAGAGTCATGAAAATTTAAATTATATATATGAATACAGGTGCTTTAACCCTTTAAAATATTTTGCAATAATATGCATTTTCAAGCAATATTCACTATTTTTACAAGACAAGGAAAATACAATTTTATTTATTCATGAAACTGTACATAGGAAAACATAATTAATACCTTCAATGTTTTACTGTCCAATTTTCAGTTCTTAAGGAACATTATTTATCACATAACTTTCAAAATCTGGTCCAGTGCAGCAAACAGGTTTAAATAAAAGCATTTCCTCTGGTAATGGTTTCTTCTCTGTGACTCACAGGTCTGTGAAGGGTTAGAATCACAGGATAGCTGAATTTCTGGTCACAGAGGTCTTAGCACTGGTGTATGCAAATGTCCCACAAGGGTATCCTGCACACAGGCGCGATCTTCAGCAAGCATCGCAGAGAAACAACCTCCTACTGCTGTGGGCACTGCATCTCCGGGGTTGACTTTGAGGACACATACATGATGGTGTGTGATTTCTTACAAGCTCCTTTTTCCAATTTGCTTGTAGTTTCTTTCACCTCTGTTGAAAGCTTTGATTCTGCAGATAACCTACAAGCATTAAAGCATATATTCTGAATTCAAGTATGGTCAAGAAAAAGAAGTAAATGCCTAGTAACATCAGACTCCAAAAAGGGGCGCACTATCTTATGTACACAGGGCAAAAACTACAGTAGACTCCATTATGAACACTAAATGACAGACTTTAAAAAGAATGTTTAATGTTTGTAGGCTTAATTTTTTAAAATGTTTAATAAATATCCTTAAATCTGAAAAAAAAAAAAGGTCAAACAATGCCTGAGTTAAAGTATTAGGTAAAATGAGATACACATCATAAAAACACCAAGTACAAAATTCAAAATGCTGAAGCAGTATTTTAGGGTTGACACCACATACAAAAGGTTAATAAACACAAGATAAAATAACATGAAACCCCAGGCTACCCAAGTAGATGGCTGTCTCAGACAAGAAAACAGAAAAGCAAGCAACCAAACAACAACAACAAAAACCCTTAATAGAGTTTCCATCAGGCAAGCAGTAAACCAATAGCACAGGAGATGTTTAAATAAAAATTCTTGCCAGGCATGGTGGTGCACGCCTTTAATCCCAGCACTTGGGAGGCAGAGGCAGGGGATCTCTGTGAGTTTGAGGTCAGCCTGGTCTACAGAGTGAGTTCCAGGACAGAGAAACCCTATCTTGAAAAACAAAACAAACAAAAGATGGAAGAACATTCATTAAGTGAATAATGAAAATGAGGAATTTCAGTTCTCGACAAAGGCCATCTTTTCTGTGACAAAGTTAACCTCCGTGAGTCTAGGTTAAACCTGCAGAAAATACATATGGTTGGAAATGTTTTAAGTTAGTAGATGGACTTACAGACTTAAAAACAAACACCCTGTGGTATTTTCTTGTGCGTGTGTGTGTTTAAGCAGACAAAAATTTTCCAATGTGCAATTTGAGTCCATTATGTAATGTTTCTCCAGCAACAAAGGGCAGAAAAAGTACCGAGGACAACAGACAGCAAAATGCAGTGGCCATCTAGAAAGCACCTAGAGACATACTATCACCCATGGACTTCACACACGACAGGGAGCAGCCCAACCCCTTCCAGAACCGCTGGGGATAAGGCGTATGTGCTCGAACACCAAGTGTTTACTTCTTGTGCAATATAGATTTAAATATTATTTTAAGAAATTCAACAGAATAATACAACAGTAGCAGCTGATGTTTTTTCTACTCTGTGGTATGGGGTGTGCTGTCTTGCCTATCTCAGTTAAATGTCTGATTCTGCACCTACTCTGATTCATGTAGCCCTAGCAGCTCCCAGAGAGCTAGCTCATCTCATGGTGCAGATGCTCACCAAGAAGCTCAATTTTTAAATGTGTAAGGGCACTATTTTAAATACTTCCCACTGCACTGCATGTAGACATCATCCATCTCCTTAAAACTATTTGGCTCCTTCATCTTCTCTAATCACTTTTTAAAACTTTTGTACAAGTCTGTGGGTACATGTGTTCTAGCCTATCCCTCCCTCCCATTAGTCCCTAGAGATGATTTTGCTCCTATTTTCATGTCACATGCATGTTTTGTGTACATATAAAGTCTGGGAGGCACAAATGAGAGAAACACGCACTATTACTCTGAGACTGGCCTAGTCAGCTTAGCATGCTGGTCTCCGTTTGCATTCCTCTTCCTCCGGATTACCCGGCGTTGCTGCCTCCGTGGCTGACAGAGTTCCGCTGTGTATAAACCACGTCCTTCACCCATGCCTGTGCTGCTGGACGTCTAGCCAGTTCCACAACAGCTACCGTTCTGCACATCATCCTGCCGTACAGAGCCGGACCTCCGGCTGCCAACACGCCATCCACTCTTTTACTGTCTATCTCTATCAGCTTTGCTTTCTCGAAAGACAGAGCCCTTCGAACACTGGCTCCTTCATGTGCCAACTGACACTTTCTCTTTCCGTCACAAACCCAATTACACAGAAACTGCAAGCTTTGAAGTTTGGGAATAAACATAAAACTAAATTAGCTTTGATATTTAAAAATATCAAGCCGGCATCAAAGCCTATTTCTGAAGCTTAGTATAGATATCAAAAACCATAAAAACTTTTACCTGGCCTTACCAAAAATTTAAGTCTAAATGCCTTAGCCTACTGAAAGGTCCTTTGAGAAAGTTTTTCTTTCACGGCTACTCCTGAACTGAGAGAAAAACAACAGCGCATTTCTTCCACCCAGCGAAACCCTCAGGGGTGCTTGTGCTCTGCTGTTTTCATGGACTAAGGAAGTGTAACTGCCTAGCGCCACCTGCCATCCATTGCCCTTCCCTCCTGCAGTCACCTTAGTCTTCCTGATGCTCTGAGAAGAACCGAAGGAAGACAGATCAAATGCTGTCTTACAGCGCACACACGGCCGGGAAAACAGACAGAGCAGCACGGCACAGTTCAGGCAGTGAGAGAGGAAAGATGGAGAAGGCTGCTGGCGGCCAGGCAGAGGACACACTGACCTGGGGGAGCTGGGGGTGTTCCCACTCTGTTCACGTAAGGCCTCAGCACTGCCTGGACCGGCCATGAGCTTTACACATTTCTTCTCCGTCTTCGGCTGCGTCTCCAGAGGCGGACTCTTGTGAGGAGAGAGGCTAGCTGGCTGAATGGCCGAAGAGGCCGGCGGTCCCATCTGCACGGAGCTACCACTTAAGCTACTGAGGCAGGACTCTTGCTCCTCTCTCTGAAGCGGCAGTCTAGAAACTTCCCCGATGGCACTGGCAGCAGGTGTCTCTTCTGGGGCGGTTACATCCAATGGCAGCACCTCACGCCTCTTTTTGAGCACAGGTACTTCAATTTTCTCTGAGAAGAAAAAGCTTATTAAAATGCGTGCCCTTTTAATAAAAACAAATACACAACCCAAGGTCTGAAGTACTATAGCAAAGAAGGGGGGGGGGCTCCTGTTTGCACTTCTGCTTTCAGATTAGCATGCCCCCCTTTCTTTTGCACTGCTCCTCTGAATCATCCCGACCCCCAACCCTGTGTTCTTTGTTGGGTTGGCAGATCTTTGAAATTCATAATGGATAATTCTTAATCAGGGGAGCATATTGGAATCACAAAAGAGAAAAAGCACACAAAAAAGAATCTTTTAGAAACTATAAAAAAAAATCTATTGTCAACAACCTCCCCCTAGTGGTGAGACTCACTATAGTTCCCACAGATGATCTCGAAGAAAGTTAGGCAGAGGTACCTGGTTAAGACTCCTCAAACTAGAATATGCCAATACAACCTTGTGAGGAGGCAGTGGCAGCACCACAGCATTCACAGATTTCTTAGGACCGACTTTCTATTTTTTCAATTTAAACACAATAAAATGAACTGTTTGCAGTGTATCGGCTGCAGAGACTGTATGGCAGGCTATTTTCTGAGTAGTTAAGACTTATTGTATAGTCTGCATCAAAACGTTTTTCCTTAAAAACAGAGTTCCTGGGCCCAGGCATGAGGGTGCACACCTTTAATCCTAGCACTTAGCAGGCATCAGTGATATGACTTTTGTGAATTCAAGACCAATCTGGTCTATACAATGAGTTCCAGGATAGCCAGGACTACATAGTGAGAGTCTGTCTCAAAATTAAATAGATGTAATTAAGTAAATAAATAAATCCAAGATGAATGGTGAAAGAAGATGGTAGAATCTGTATTTCCATCAATTATCCTTCCATGTACTCAAAAACACCTCAAAGAGCTCAGGAAACCAAAATACAAAAGCAAGATGGTAAAGACGCTGGAACACACACACAGTGACTGAGCTACGAAAGGGCCTCTGTGACTGTGATCTCCTTCACCAAGCCACTAGAGCATTATGTACAGAATTCAGGGGCTATGCTGAGAGACTCACAGAGAGGGACATTTGACTTTCCTATCATCCTGACTCACTATGTGGAGTTTCACTCCTGCACTGGCCCACAAGGGAGACTACCAGGGGGCTATTCTACTCCAAGTCAGCAAAGAACAAGAAACAGGCAAACAGGAGTTAATATCCAGATCTTGCAAGGCCCTTCATCCCTGCCAAACAGTCCAGACTGTGTAAGGGCCCCATACTGCTGGAGGCACAGTGCGCGTGGCCCTTGGACTTGAGTGTGGGACTGGCTCTCCCAGATGTCCTAGGTGCCTCCTTAGGGCTGTCCATGGACCCACCCAGGTGGATAAGTCACAGAGCTATCACAAAACTGACAGTTAATCTGTGCTGAAGGTGACCTCTAAATGCTGAAGCGGAATATAAGAAGTTGGTATGCTGAGAATTGCAAAAAACAAATAAACCAAAACCCGCCACCACCACCGACAACAACAAAAACCAACCCCAAAACAATGAAATAGAAGTCACAGGAAAACACAGATGGCAAGGAATATAACAACGAACACCTAGTTCATCGATCCAGAGATGGGGACTAAGAAAATCAAGGAAGGAGGGTTTTGAAAATGGCAAAGCAAGGTGCCAATGACAACTAAAGACATGTATGGGAATAAATAGTTTGAGGAGCAAAGAGCTTAAAACACGCAAACCAGATGCAGAAAATGAAAAATGTAAGTAAAAAAATATAGTAAATAAAAAGTTAATTATAAGATATTAACAACAGGACTGACCAAGCAGAGTAGAGAATTAGTGAGTCTGAAGACAGGCGCTTTGAAAACAAGAAAAAGAAAATGACTAAGGAGGAAGAAAGAAAGCTTCTGCGGTTTATGAGACACCATCCAAAGGAAAAGCTACATCGCTGGTACCAAGAGAGAACTAGACAATGACAAAAGGTACAAAGTCTATTCAAATGAAGAACAGAAAGCTTTATAAACCCAGGAAGAAATGACCTTCCTGTGGAAAGGTCAAAAGTTTGGTCAGACCCAACCCAAGAGTCAAACTCTCAAAGGACAAAGAACACTCTGGAGCAGCATGGGGTGGTGAGGAGCAGCAATGCCCCTGGCAGCAGACTTCAGAGTGACGAAGGGAAAGAGATGCCAGTCAAAGCAGATCTTTGGAAATGGAAGATGGACACCGTTCCCTAAGAAAAGCTGAATTCACTGTGACTAGACTTGTCTTACAAGAGATACTGGGCCGGAGTAACAATAAGAATGGCTCAGTGGTCAAGAGCCCTGGCTGCTCTTACAGAGGACCTGAGTTCAATTCCCAGCAACCACATAGTGGCTCACAACTGTCCTTAACACCAGCTCCAGGGCATCTGATGTCCTCTTCTGACCTCTGCATGCACTAGGCATGTGAAGACATACATGCAGAGACAAAATGCCCATACACATAAAAATAAATACATTTTGGGGGGAGGAGTGGCATCTGATGTTTGAAACCTGAAACGATCAGAGAAAATCTAAATATTCAGACATGATAGTCATATAGCCCCTATGCACTGAACAGGAAGATATAAACACTAACAAAGGAACAATTATAATCAATAGTTAAGGGATAGGAAACATAAAAAGGCTTGAATTTTGACAACTCAAAGCAATGGGAGAAATGGAGCTAAGAGGAGGTATTTTTCCTTTTTGCCTTAGTATTCAAAATTGTCACACTTTAGTTCAGTATAGTTCTTTATAAGTGTGTGGTAATTATAACTGAAACAAATATAGTGACTGAGAAACACCTCTCAGCACCGAAGACTGGAGGGGAGAAGAAAGGAAGAAAAGGCCTACCAGACAACAACCAGAAATACAGCAGCACCAAGTTCTTAATTACCAGTAATTATTCTGGATGCAGATGGGGTACATTATCTAATTAAAAGACAGTGAGTGGCTAAAGGGATTACAAGAACAGGAGCAGAGGATGCTGCCGATGTGAGACTCCTTTCATGTGCAAGGATATGCAGAGGCTGGAAATCCATGAGTGGAAAATGCAATCCACTTGCAGCCCGGAAGAAAAGTGAGATATTTATGTCAAGTCAAATATACTTCACATCAAAACTATGAGACCGGGACAGTAAAGAATGATAAAGGGGCCCAAAACTGAGTCTGTAGCGCGCGCGCGCACACACACACACACACACACACACACCAAACAAACATCAATAAATCTCTCTATATTAGAGAGACAGCAGGCAAGTGACATCTGGGGATGCCAACACCCACTTACAACAATGGAAAATCACCCAGACAGAAAAATCAGCAGACGCTCTGGGTTTAAAGTACACTCCAGACTTCAAATGGAGCTAAGAGAAACATATAGGACATTCTATCCAGCAGCTGTAGAATTCACTCTTCTCTATTGCATATGAAGATCACGTTAGAAAAAAAACAAGTCTGAACAAAAACATACAAACATTTGTTTTGGTGTAACCCCAAACCAAGGCCCCGTCAAATATCTTTTCTCACCCCAAGGAAACCTGTTAACAATAGGGAGAACGCTGATCAATGGAGCCAAACAGAGAGCCAAGGAACCAATCCTTTGACACACAGCTTGTGTGTTCACAAAGTCAAAACACGTAACAGGGAAAGGACAATTTCCTCATCAATAGAGCTAAGAGAACTGGCAACTACACGCTAATTACTAAACACCTCATCTCTCACAGGAAATGAAGTCAGCTAAAAATGGGTTACTCACTAAATATAATATCTAAAACTACTAGAAGAAAAGAGCCAGTGCTACATGACTACTCTAGTGAGGACCTTTAGAGAAGACTTTGAAATGCACAAGCAATAAAAGCAAAAGTAAAAAATTAAAAGAAAAAAATGGATCATATTAAAACGAAAACTTCTGTTAACAGCAGAGGAAACAAAAGAGATCACAGAATGGAAGAAAAGTTGGCAAATTATATGCCTAATAAAACGTTAATAGCTTAAAAATGATAATAACCCAGAAATAAAATTAACTCAAAAACAATCTGATTTTTAAAAAGAGCAAAATAGGGGCTAAAGAACGGCTCACTGAGTAAAGGTGCTTGCCTTGTGAGCCTGACAGCTGGAGTTCCAGGAACTACATAGAGACAGAAGAGAACCAAGCACACATCACACACATGTGCAGGCTCACACACAGTAATGACAAATACCTGTTTAAAAGACAAACACGATGTGGTCTCGTTCACCTGGGAGCTCTAAAGGCATGACGACTATAGTCAACAACACACTGGGCATTCCAGACAGAGGAATTTTGAAAGTTCTCACAACAAAGAAAGGGTAAAAGTTTAAGATACTAAACTTAAACCATAAGTAGTTCTGAGATATGATTAAAGTGATAAACATTAATTACCTTGATCGCTCTACAATACACATGAGTGACAGCACCACATTGTACCATATAAATGTGTCCAATTACTATGTGTTAGAAGAAAAACAAACAGAACCTTCCATATGGAGTTGGAAACATAGACAGCCCTTGAGATCAAGACTACATCTTCTTTGCCTTTCTGGTGATGGGTCCCGAGGACACAGGGTCAATGGAATGGCAGCAGACAAGAACTAAAGAGCCTGAATCCTAACATGTACAGTCCTGGAATGCTCCTCCAGAGATTCATGGGGGCAGGGACGGGGTAGGAGGGGGGGGGGAAGAGTACTTGAACCTAAGTCTTGCTTAGTTCTTCTATAAACAAACTTAGCTAGTCTAGCGGCCAGTATCAGCAGCTTCGACAAGACGAAACTCTGACATGGGCTGGTCATATACATCTATGACCCTACTCAGGAAGCAGAGTAAAGGTCCGGAGTGTGACACCAGCCTGGGCTGCAGAGTGAGACCCTTTCTCAAAATAATTTCAAAGCTCTCTCGGACACCATAAGATGCTACAATCTTCAAGGGGAGAAACTCAAGTTCTTGTTGTTCAGTATGAACCCAGATATTCTGAGAGAGAACATTGTTATATTCATGCAACCAGTTGTAATTTCCTTACACATCTGACAGCTAACCTTTACTCCAGACACAGGGTCGCAGTTCAGTTTATAACGACATTGGTAAAAAGCTACAAAACATGTCTTAGTCTCTCAGAGCTAGTAATGATTTGAAAGACGAAAGCCTACGCAGCACACCTTCAGGTTCGTACTTCAGCTTTAATTCATCTAACTTGGCTCTCAGTTTTATGTTTTCACTTTCTGAAAGCTGCAGGTGTCTTTCATTCGCAAACAGTTTCCGCTCAATATCCAGGGCCCGCTGGCTCTCAAACAGCGCCTTCATTCTCTGTATGGATAGCTCGCCTTTTGTGCTTTCGTTTTCTTTGCTACAGTAACAGATAAGAATGATTAAAGAATATTAAAATAACACACAGTACAAGCATGGTAGAATAAATCTCGTGTATTATAAAGGCATTTCTCTGAGATTTTAGCAATAAAAGAAACAATAAAGTAAGTCTTAACAATGCAATGCCCCACCCAAGAATTTCATGGATTCTTTAAAAAAAACAGAGGGAGAAAATATTTTTTTCCAAAATGCACACATGCATATATTCAAGTTTTAAATTACATGAAATTTATTCTTGAATTTTGATGGAGAATCTAAGAGTTCTTTTCACTTACCAATCTGAATGCTAAACACAAAAGAAATGCATATTTTATATAAACTCATGCTACACAAGGATATTTTTATTGACATTCCTCTAGAGATTTTTTTTGACAATTAAAAACAAATAAAAAAATGAGTCAGTAATACTCTTATAAGCAAGCAAACCCTTCATCTTTTATTCACGATTCCAAACACTTACTTTAACTTATCAAGCTTTAGTTGAAGTAAATCTGCATAGTAGGTGCTGTCTTCTAGAGAACAAGAGCTGGCTGATGTGGAAGGCTTAGATTCCATACTTTCATATAAGGTCTAATGAAAACAGAAGCTCTTATTACACTGAGCAGACAACACACTAGGTTTGCTGTAACAGCAGCAACCACCACTAAGTAGAAACTGACTAATTTACAGTCATCAAGCTAAGAACCACACTCTTAACTCACCTGTCTTCTGGAGTGGGAAGACTAAGCAGTTCTCTTTTCAAATAAGCAAAATAGATCAATGTGACACGGCATAAAATAACACATGTTTAATTACAAAACTAAGGCTCTCAACCACACCGTTCCCACAGTTCCCCCTCCTAGCTTTTAGAACGGAAGAAGCAATGACTTCTGGTTCAATTCTGGACTTCAGAGAAAAGTTATAAAATGGAAAACATGGAGAGAAAACCCTTGGTGTGACCTTTGGTACTCCCCCATCCCCAATACTGAAGGGAATTCTTTCTATTTCTCTGAGGCAGGGGGTAAATTTGTTTAAAATTTAGCAAACAATTTTAGAGACTGCAAAAACCCAACTTTTCCTGACTATAAATGTACTTTTCAAAGTACAGTGCTCAGCCAATGCAGGTATACCACCGCCCAGTAATACACTATACATTTAACAAAACTGCTACCTTTTCAACAGTTTTCTAACAGATGAAAATAAAACTTAATATTTAATGATAAACTAATGACCACAATACAGAATACTTAAGGGATCATTAACATTTATAAAATCTGCTACTTATATAAACTCGAATCTTTCATTAGAAGCTTAATGAAAGGACACTAATGCTCCCTAAGGTAATTAAAAAAAATCTGAAAATTTTTAATATAATCTTACAAACACCACCAAATAGTTCTTTCTGGTGTGTGTGCATGTGTGCATCAGATAAGAGAAAAGCAAACATGTAAGAGCAACCAGAACACTATGAAGAAAAACTAGGGGGACTAACGTCTAAAAATAAAAACATATACTCCAAAACCTCTGTAACTCAAACAAACAGAAGTCAACCAATACACAAATACTGTCAAAAGATTCACGCACAAATAGAAACTTGTTATGTATTAAACCTAGCATCTCACTGGGGCCGAATTTAACAAATGATGCCGGGACTGACTTCACACTCTATATACAAGACTCAGGTTAGACTGCCGTGAGTTCAAAAAAAAATACATATTGGGTAAACTGGTACCGAAACTGGAGGTTAATTGTATAATAAACTTCAGAAGCTAAAAATATAGAGACATTCAATTCAAACTTTGGCTATATTTTTGAAAAGAAGCTACCTTAAATTTCTCCAGATTTTTAATTTCACCTAAAAGGTGTTTTATTTCACCATTCTTCTGTTCCAACATGGCAAACAACCGTTCCTGCTGCTCCAACTCAGTTTGAGACCCCCGCATCCTCAGCAATGTGGAGATTTGTAACTAGAAAAACAATCACCCCAAAAATCAAAATCCTGGTAAGCATATTTCTGGATAATTCCTGTTTTGTGCTTCACTGATTTGAATTCAACCCAGAAAGTAAATAATTCTTTTTCATCTCATAATCTGAAAACATTTGCATCAAACATTTTGTTGTGGATATCTTTCAAGTACTATTTTGACTACTTTTATGGTATCTGAAGTCTTTAACATTAACTATTTATGTGCTGTGAAATGGACATGGAACTACATGCCATTTAGACGGTACATGAGCCTGGCCAAACATCGCCTGCTACTCATCACTTGAATTAAGACTATGGGTCTACGGGGGGGGGGGGGGGGGGGGGGGGGGGCGGGGTGGGGTGTTTCTAAAATGTATAAATAAGTGAGGAAGTTGTTAAGTTACTCACAGAAATTAACCACAAGGACGGGTAAGTGTTTACTCCATGTTAGTCCAGAACAACTCTAAGAGGCAGGAATGGCTATCACCTTCCCATTGACACATGAAAACTATTACCTACCTCAAGGAGCTCATGTAACTCCCAAGTTTAATTACTGAAGTTCCTTATTTCTTTGGTAAAACACTTAGGGAGGAAAATGAGTGAGCCTTTCTAGCAATCTATTACTACTTTAGCAGCCTCGGGCCCGTGGGAGGAGGGGTCAGATCCAAAGGACTGGAACAGCCAGGACTGTGGCCTCCTCACTGCTCTGAGCACCTCCGTGACCTCTCACTTAATAAGAATGAGGAAACAAAGACAAAAGAACCTTACGATGCAGACGGCCCACACTTGGCTTACTGAGCTGCAAGGATAAGAGGCCATGAGCAGTACAGATGTCAGTAAAAAAAGAAGCCTTTGTGTGAGACGTAGCAGAGAGCTAGGTCTAGATGAAGTAGAAAACGGCGTTATGATCAGGAACACGCTATGCACAAAAAATAAAAAAAAAAAAACAACCTTTTTCTCATTCCAATTGGACAAGAAGACTGTCTACCTGGTGTCAGTGAGGAACCACTAAAGCAATTTGCAGCTGCCTTCCCGAGGTGCTTTCTAATATAAAATAAAGAATCACGCATTTCAACAATCACATAAGTATACTTTCTGAAGGAAATCAGTTTCCTGTATATATTTGCTAAGACAAAGCAGATTAAAGCCTTTACTGGCGATGAATCCATACCTTCATTTTGTTCATCTGCTCTCTGGTGAATACATTGTGCTTCTTCAGTGACTGGTATTTGACTTTCATCGAGTTGAGCTGGCGCTCCATAGCCACCCTTCGATCATCCACCTGGAAGACATTAACGTGCTTGTTCTTGTAGTAAATGAAATGCCGGTTTCATCAATTTGGTCATGAGAACACTTGCAAGTACCTCTGCAAACAGGGAGTTGCCTTTACTATTTGGATCCAAGGCTTGCTGAAGTGCGTGACTCAACTGCACCTGAAGATCTTGATTTTCTACGCGAGCTTTCTAGATGGAAAAGAGAGTTTCACTAGCAGAGGGCAGCAAGAGGGCACTAACAACTGTGCATATGACAACAGCCTCACCATACCTCTAAGGCATTATAATACGACACCACTTCCTTCTCTCGCTCCTCCTTTTCTTCTTGAAGCCGGTCTACCCGGTGCATTAAGGAAGCGTTGGCACATTCTAGTTGTTCTTGTTTGTACTGCAGCTCGTTCACCTCTTCTTGGAGAGCAGTCTACCGACAGGAACACAGCAAGGGTTCTCTTGACTAATCTCTTACACACAGTTGGTCCATTCATGCTGTTACTTCCCACCTCACATTAAAACAAAGCCATCCAGAGGTTTCCAAGTATATTTTAAAATATTTTTTAAATGTTTTTAGTTAATGATATTTTTAGCAGAGAGCCAATGAAAATACCTTGGAAATTGTCTCCTTTTCCTTCGAATTTTAATTATCCACAATTGAAATGAAAAATCTATAGTGACAAGCATTTTAATTTCCACTGTGCTAACATTGTATATCGGGCTTTTATGACCCAACTAGTGTCAAAATAAAAGCCTATAAATGACTCCAGAGTTTCCATAATATAAAATATGCCTTAAGTAGTCATAAAATAGGAAACTATTTTATGAATGAATTAATCCACATGAAAACTCTGCAGAGTGCTTTTTGGTTACGGTAAACAACCAGCTAAGTCCTCAAACTGTTCTTAAGAACAACTACAAGAACATGCAGAACTATTCTAACGAGAAAACACCTGAGATATAAATTACCTTCACACCTTCCATCTCAGTTAGCTCAATCTGAAGAGCCAGCACCTCCGAAGACATGCTATTGATCATGCGCTGCTCAGACATTAGCCGAAGCTCTTCCGATTTGTGGGCGAGAACTTCCTCCTGGTGGTCCAGCTTCTGCTTCAGCTGCTTCTCACTTAACCTGGCTTCATCTAATTCCACTTTCAGTTTCTCTAACTAAACCAGGAAAAGAGAAAGAGTCACAACCTCTGAACTCAAGGGTCCTTGAGCTTTCTTTGAACTTTCCTTCCTGAAGCTGTATTTAGAGTTCATACCTGATTTTCTAGATTCTCCTCTACAGAAACTCACTGGATCTAAGTGACATCTCCACCCACAGTGCTGGGAACTAAACACAGGGTCTTGGGTTGCAAGCTAAACATCGCTCACCTGCCGAGTGTCTTTTAAACAAAGACCTATATTGTTCTACAAATTCAGGCATAACCTGTACTAGTCATCCAAGTAGACCTGGTTTTCTTAGAAGCAACTGAAGGTGGCATAGCTAACCACAAGGCAGCTGTATATAATGGGAGGTATGCCTCCTCTCCAGCCCTGAAGAGGCATGGGTAACAATGATTCAAGCGGGTAACCTGGTTAGAAAACCACAGTAGCGTGATAACGGTCTGGACTACAGGGACAAGAGCTACCGTGAGATTTTATAGGTCAACTTCTTGGGATTCAACAACAGATTAAATGTGAGAAATAAGAAAAAGATAATGAACAAAACTTGAGAATTTTAAAACAAATGATTTGAGACTATTGGCAATACCATTTTTGTAAAAATTTTCTCTTTCTTCTATAAAAAGGCCATCTTGATTATTATCTTTGCTTTACTTAGTCCCAAATATTTCCTCTATCATATCTACTTAGGAAATTAGGGCTACTGCTAAATCCATGGAGGAATGAAAAACAAGAATATATCTTTTCCAGTTATCCACATCTCAAATCGGATTAGCTACAAATAGGATTACTAGTTGTCAGAGCCACAGGCAAGATGATTCTGTATTACACAAAAGCGTACTTACTTAGATATGATTTTGCTGATACCATTATTCAAAATATATATTCAAAAATATATTGTAGTTTAATGAAAAATTATAGGTGGAAACAGACATGGAGAATATTAAAAGACATTATACAAAATATTAAAAATTGAAAACAGACTTCTGAGAAAATAGGGCATAAAAAATCTTTAAAATTTTTCATAGAGTAGGATCTGGAAAAGAAAATCAGGGTACAAGCTCCATCTGAAGAGAATCATAAGCAGAGCCCCCAATTTCTTAGAGGCAAACTGAAGGTCCAGGGCAGCTGGGGTTCTGAGAGTGAATGGGTGTTCACTGCACAGCGGCTCACTCTGTGTTTACAATGGAGCCAGGATATAAGGAATCACTAGACCACGGGCATGAACTCAGTACCGGGCTTTACTGTCATCAGCTTCAGTTCCAATAGTGGCTAACGATTTCTAATTCTTACTTTGTTCAGTCTCTTCAGGTCACCTAGCCACTGGCATCACTGTCTGTCATAATGGAGATAAGGTTACCTCCTTCACAAAGTCCTTTTGAGAGCTGGCTCGTCCACATTTTCCCTTCCATAAACACATAGGAAGTTTCACCTCACAAGACAGCACCGGTTTGTGTGCAGAGGAGCTGCACGTGACCCACGGCAGGGACGGCCACAGAACTAGTCACTTATCTTACAAGGTGAACACACAGCCAGTAAGGAGGCCTTGCTGGTCACCGATATCACGAATACAAATATTCAGATACCAAATTCAAATAATTAACAATTTCATGTCATTAGCAGGCTAGTATGTATACAAATTCCTTTGATAGCTTATTTCTCAGTGTTTCCACTTGAACATTAAGATAGGGAAAACTTATTTTTGGCCATTAGTATTTAAGCAACTCCTCTGCCCTCCCCCACCCCCACCCAGTACTTAGAGATAGCCATACAAACACAGGATATTTTTGCTCTGAAACACAGATCCAAACCTTATTTTTCAGGTCATTCACTTCCTGCCTGTGGCTTCTGTTCAGCTGCATTTCTAGCTGCTCTAGCTGCGTCTTCTGTTGTTGTTTCAAAGCTTCACATTCACAGCTCAAACTTTCTAACATCCGATTCTTGAGCTCAACTTCTCTTTGAAGGGCGTACTTCTCCTGGTTGTAACCCTGAAAACACATTTAGATGCATACAAAATTTTAATCATTAGATATTAGTTGGCATCTTAAGCTGGTTCACAACTGTTATTTGCTATCCAAATAACAACCACTTGTCAAATTGGGAATACTGTAGTTAATCAGTTTTTACTGTCTTGGGTTGGGGGCGGGGTTACATGCATCTTCATGTGGAAAAGCACACGTGTATGCATGTAGTAGTCCAGGCAACAACCTCAGATGTTGTTCCTCAGGCAATCTTATTTTTTGGAACAGAGTCACTCACTGACCTAGAACCTGCCTGTCAAGTAGGCCAGGTGGAATTGCCAACTAACTGCGCCCCAGGGACCCACCCATCTCTCTGCCTCTCCCGCACCGCAAGTCATCAGTGTGCATCATCATATGGGCTTTTTCAGTTTGGGTTCTGAAAACTATGCTCAGGTAAGTATTTCTCCAAATGAGCCAGGAGCCCAACCCTGCTGCTAATCAGTCTTAATGAACCCCAAAAGGTGTATTTGGAGACTGCAGTGGCCTCAAAACACTCAAGCTGGAAGAAGGAGAGTCCTGGCCCCAGCAAATGACCAACTTCTGCTTTCCCATCTGTGGTCTCTGGTGCCCTGAAAGCCAGCAGTGGAGGTGGTAATGGAGGGAGCATTCTCTGGATTCCACACTCAATGAACCCTCACACTGATGAGTGATAAGGCTTTCCTAAAAATGTCTTGCCCCTGGCTAAACATCAACCATCAAGGTAGCAAGCAAGTCTTATCTCAAGCTGATCAAAAACAAGGAATTTACTGATTACTAGGAAAGTTACCTTTAATATAGCACAGTATCAGAATCTTTCCAAAATTTAAAATCCACTTGAGAGACAACAAGAAAAAGTAAAGGTACATTTGGTAGCACAAGATCAGAAACACTGTAACCACCTCACAGAGACACTCAGCCATCCTCCCAACAACTGTCCATTCCATGCAAACGTGCCAGGTCACAAACCCATTAACAGATAAAACACGGCACTAACCTCAAGATTAGTCTAGATTCCACAAGGGCAGGCTAAGAGGAGGCTTTTTTTCTTTTGAACTAGATCATGCCAAACACTATACAGAGGACCAAGGAGACATTTAATTCTACTTAATATTATGCAAAGAATCCCACAGGGCTGTGACTAAAGTGACTCAAAGAAAACCTCTCATGTTTGTGCCTTCCACAAGTGTGCACTCACCACACTCCTAAATCAAAGTGTCCAACACACAGACTCCATGAGGCTAAGAGTTCTTCTCAAGTGCGCGCCATAATTCTGACTAATATAACACTTATCTGACCAACAACTGAGGAGATTTACCGCTATGGCATTATCTATTGGATGGAATGTTTTATGAGAGCGTGAATCACCATGACTAAGAGATGAGAGGCAGTGTATAATGTCCAGATGGCAATGGATGCTGCACAATGGAACAGGGGAGAACTTTGAAGAGGAGCTTTTCTAAGGGAAAGATGTATGAACAGATTTCCAAAGCAGCAGCAGGAAACGCTCTTGGATGTCAGATGCTGTGATGCACAGACTATAAGGGACACATGTCCAATAATCATCGTGCCAGATATCTAAACTCCAGTACAGCTTCAGATGTCATTTGCATCTTAGCTGTCTGAGTTTGTTCCAGAACCCCAGCCTGATGTCTGGATCCTAAAGAGTATCAAACCCTACAAATACCACGCACCTCCCACTATCTATAGTCTTTATCCTGACAAAATTTAATTTTAAATTTGACACAGTGGGAAATTAATGATATAAACAATAATAAAAAGAGCAATTAAAGCCGGGCAGTGGTGGCGCACGCCTTTAATCCCAGCACTCGGGAGGCAGAGGCAGGCAGATCTCTGTGAGTTCGAGGCCAGCCTGGTCTACAAGAGCTAGTTCCAGGACAGGAACCAAAAAGCTACAAAGAAACCCTGTCTCGAAAAAATCCAAAAAAAAAGAGCAATTAAAAGATATGTGTCATTTTACTCTCAAAATCTAACTGTTCTTATGATGTTAAACAATATAGTAGCCATGTGACAAGGCAAAGTGTGGCCAGTATAAGGCACAATGACATAGTGTCACAGGAGCATCATCTACTTCATGTCTCCTGGACAGTGATTCGTGTCCCCAACAGGACACAATCACTGTAGCTTTATAAATTATATATGGAATTTTCCATGTATTATTTATGGATAACTGTACTGTTCAACGTACAACTACAGTAGGGGGAAGAATGTTAATGTCCAGGCTGGAGGTATAGCAATTGCTTCAGTTCACTATCAAGAAGGATAAAAAACCCACAGCATGATGGGTCTATCAACCCCTATTCAAAGAAAGACAAAACAGGGACGCTTCACTGGCACTCAGATGCTGCTACCAGTAAGCATTACTGTTGGATAACCAAATGCTCTTCTTTATATAATGCCTTGAAAAAAACAGCAGAATGGGTAAAAAAGGAAAAATACTGAATAAACTATTACTTTCAAAGTGTTGTTTGCTAAAAACCATTTACAAAATAATCAAAGATTGAAAACATGCTAAGGTTTAAAAAAGGTATTATAATTCCTTCTAAATGACTTTTGGAAAAAAAAAATAAGACAAGGTAGGGTAGAGAAGAGATTATGGCAAGAGACAACACGTTTGAAAGAAATGACTGTAAACACATCCTGAAATGCATACATCCATGAAAGGAGTTTAATTGCTGTTACCATGTAACTGGGGGCAGGTGCAATACCCAAATCAGACATCATATACTACCAAGTAAAACCTAACATCAGGAATGGGCTACATGTTTTTGTGCTGTTGGCCAATGGGCTCCTCAACAATGATAGGGTATTATTACCAGTGCTACTGGTTACCCTCCACAACTTGTCATAAGACCCGACATGGAGAAATCTAGCTGGTGTTCGGCTACAAGTTTCATCCTACTGGTTAGTGTTCACAGAGTTGAAAAGTGCTACGTGCAACACCAGAGGAGAAAAGTAATAACAGTCTCACCCAGCTACACACTGTGTGAGCCACAATTTAATGACCTGCTTACAAGTTAGGCCTATGGGTTCAATAGTGACTTGAATGTTAGGAGAATAATCACCGGTCTTTTTACTTGGATTTGAGCCCTCCCATTCCCTTCTACAAGATGAAATCCATACCTGACACTGTCAATGAGGCCAAGAACCTGAGGCTACATAGGTCATAGGCCCTAGAGGAAACCTACAATTACTATTCTGCTAAATGAACACAGCAATGGAACAATGCTTAATCACCTACTGCAAAATCCATAGTTCAAGATATCATCAACTCTCATCAGTGAAGTTCTTACAGTAAATGGGAATTAACACAGGGAACAAGAGACTTTGGAATGTTCAGCCCTAAATGGGATGTCTTATATCACACCCCTCTCCTCAAGGTTCAGAGATCCATTTGGAAGAAGGGGCAGAAAGCCTTGAAGAGCCAGAGGTAGTAGGTGACTTCAAGGAAACAACATTTTTCAGATACAGTAGGGCAGATGAACTCACATAGGAACTCCCAGAGACTGTGACAGTGCGTACAAGACCTTTATAAATTCCAGGCAGACAAAATTTTACCACAGAGGAAGGGAGGAGGGCACAGAGTCCTACCCCGAACCAGGAAGCAACTGACAGTTGCTGAAGAGGGAAAATCAGTTTCTGCAGTGGAGCAACAATAGGTATATCAGTCACATTCTAGGACACGACCTATACATCCCCAGGAGTAGTCAGCCAACACAAACTGAACTCCATGGTAGGTATTGTTTGTTTTTTAAAAAGAGAGAAAAAACATGAAGTGGGGTGCGCGGGTGGAGAGGATCTGGGAAGAGTTGGGGAGTGGATAAAGAACATGATCAAAATATATTGTATAAAAACTTCAAAACATTAAAATGAAACAAAAATAAGATAAATAAAATTCAATTAAATTAAGAAAAAAAATGGCTGGGGGGCTGGAGAGATGGCTCTTCCAAAGGTCATGAGTTCAATTCCCAGCAACCACATGGTGGCTCACAACCATCTGTAATGGGGTCTGGTGCCCTCTTCTGGCCAGCAGGCATACACACAGACAGAATATTGTATACATAATAAATAAATAAATAAATATTTTTTTTAAAAAAAGAAAAAAAATGGCTGGAATTATTTATATTGCTCCTTTCCCCAATTCTTTTATTTTTAAAGGAAATATAAGTTTGGTGAGTTATTTTTAAAACAGTTGTGCAACATGACTTTACTTCTACTCTGAGGTCTGCAATCTTTGTCTTATAATTTGGCACTAAGTGATTATCAAGAACAGCAGTACTTGGAAAAATGACAACTGCCATTAGTGATTTTTTTTACCTGTTATATTTAAACTTCTGAGATTCAAATTTAAAATACCAAGCATTTAGTATTAAACTGACTTAGTCATTCTAAAAATATTTATCAAAGAATAAGAGTAGACAAAGTTTCTTCTCTTGCAGTTTGCATCTCTGGAGACAATCAGCACTCCAGAGACTTAAGAGCAAGTTTGGACTTTATACTACACAGTAAGTATTAGCTCTGCTGACATGACATCTAACTGAAAGTCTAAGGCTGAGCAAGGAATCAAGAAGCATGGGGATGAGTCACTCCACAGGAAAGAACAACTAGTATAAAATCAGTATAGGAAAGACTGAAGCAAAGTGGTTTGAAAAGGGGTGATGAGTCAGGCAGAGGCCAATGCACAGAAGTCTATACCCAAGCAAAGAGCTCAGATTCTATTGACAACGTATCAGAAAGCCCCATAAGGTTTCCAGAAGGAAAGAAACGATATCATGACCACTTGGATGTGTGCAACATGAATGGTATGATGGTAATGTGGATGGTGGCACCCGTTAGAAGGCTGCAGCAGTAGGTCAGTGGACAGATGGCCGTGGGCTGGGTAGAGTAGCAGCATCCCAGGCAGATGCTTTGGCTGTGCTAGTTTTTTTTTTTTTTCTTTTAAGTCAATTGAACACAAACCTAGACTTATCTGGAAAAAGGGGATTGGGGATCTTAGCTGAAAAAAAAAAATGCCTCCATAAAATTGACCTGTAGGTAAGTCTGTGAGGCATTTTCTTGATTAATTGATATCAGAGGGCTCACGTCTCTGTGGGCAGTGCCACTCCGGGCATGTGGTCTCGGATAGTACCAGAAAACAGGTTGGCCAAGCCACTGAGCAGCCCTCCTCCATGGCCTCTGTACCAGTTCCTACTCTAGGCTCCTGCCCTGACTTCTCTGGATGATGGACTACGTACGAGCTATAAGATGAAATCAACCCTTTTCTCCCCAAGTTGTTTTCAATCATAATGCTTTATCGCAGCAATAGAAAGCCTAACTAGAGTCCTTAGATTTGTTGATGGATAAAATGTGGGCCTTCCTGACTTCAGGCTCAAGCAACTGGATGAAAGCCAATCCATTTACTAAAGCAAGAGACCATTCAGTTAGCAGGCAAGGAACGAGTTGTTCTTCTTGCGTCAAGCTTGAGATGTCCGTTAATGGCAGGCACTTGACTACACTAATTTAGCCTTCAGGCAGAACGAAAGGCTTGGTGCGATGCCATGGAGCATCTAGATGTTTAGAACCAGAAAAGAAGTGAGGTCACGTAAGTAGAGCGTAGACTAAACAAAACCTGGCAGTAAATGCAACACAAAAGGAGAAAGCATTATTTGACTTTTCAAACTCAGAGCACACTGTTGGAAAGAAGCCTGGAAATTCATTTAGTTCATTCTCTTTCTCAACGGCGCTAGGGTGGGGAAGACTTAGGTCTTCAAAAAAGAATAAATAGTTGTTAGACAAAACAAGTTTGCAGTCCCCGAGCACATCCTTGTTAACAGGTGTGCAGATCCTACCTCAGTAACGGTCATCATTTCTTCATGACATTTATCCAATTGATTCTGCAGTTCAGTTTGCCTCTCCAAGAGCTGTAAGCCATACTGTGCAGCTTTCAGTCGCTCCTTTTCACACTCTTTGAGTTTGCTTCGAAGATCTGTGATCTCTCTCTCCATGCTTTCTGTTTTCAGTCTACTGTAAAGGGAAAATTTACTGAACTTGGAACTAAATGTAGTGATATCAGAGCAAGAGAAGAAACACATACAGCTAACACTACTGTCATATAAAATGAAAGGGTTTTTAGATTCTATTCCTGACTTGTAAGATAATACCCTCTAATCAACAATAGCACAGTAGGTATTGAGAAATAGCTGAATACTACAAAAATTGTGATGGCAAAGTCAATATGATTGGGGGACAGGGTGAGACAGAGTTTTTCTTTTCATATAGCGCTGGCTGTCCTGGAACTCATTCTGTAGACCAGGATGGCCTCAAACTCACAGAGATCCTCCTGCCTCAGCCTCCCCAGCGCTGGGATTAAAGTTGTGGGCTACCACCACCCAGTAAGATTTCTTTTATTTTTTTTTTAAAAATTTCTTTTCATTGGAAGATAAGCATAATTTTTCACAAGACCCAGAACTAAATTCTGTTATGAAACAAGACCACAGGGCACTCTCAGGTATGATCCTTGAAGTATATGCGAAGTCAAGGGTATACAATGTTCTGGAAGTTGATAATCAAAATTCCTTCAGGATGTGGGAATGAACAATCATGGCAAATGGTGCTAAGTCAAAGTAGGTGAGAACTTGGAAACTGCCCACTGGATTTCAAATATACAGATCACTGGCCCAAGGGCTGTTCCGGTAGAAGTGGACCGAAAGTATGACTAGAATAGATTTGAGGGAGAATGGTAGGTGACACAAGGTTGTGGGTAAACAACACAGAAATCTAAGCGGAGCTCCAAGGACTGGTGTTCTAACCACTTTTCGGTCCAACCTCTCAAAAACACAACCTGCACAAATCATTAAAGTAACGGGAAGGTCTGTGGATGCGCTACTTAAGTTCTAAGCCCACTTCCACCACTGACCCACTGCACAAAGTAAGGTTTGTAAACATCTTTTATCAATCGGAATAATAAAAAGCCTCTAACTAGATGCATCACAGCTGATAGATAACACATGAACGCTGACTGGGCATCAACAGAAATACCTGTGAGCCAAATGGGGTTTTAAACTTTCTGCGGGCCACAACTTCAAAACTAAGCACGCTGGAAAACATTTAACCCGATACATTCAAAATGTTACCATTGCACGCTCGAATCATTGTAAAACAAAATGAGACGCTACAGTGAGAACCCATTGTGCGTTTGTTACATTTTGCAGCGTGTTAATTCGGGCAGCATCACTGGCTAGGGGTAACGGGTACTAAAGAGCTCAGACTCAAGGTCACCGAATTCATGAAGCCCACCCAGCACCCTTATTTACCGGCAGCCTAGCGGGCAGCTAACCGGTCCGACCGAAAACTACACCGGCCCGGAAGGCAGCTCCTGAGAACTCAGGTTCCGGGAGAGCAGGCGTTCCGCTGGCGGACGCCCGGTTCTCCCCTCCCGCCGCTCGCCCTTACCTCTCAGCTCACGTTTCCCGGCTGCCGCAACCAGAGGCTCGTACAGAAAGCACCGGGCGCCCGGATTTGTGTCGGTACATCCGCCTCAGCACACACACACAAAAAGCTGTCCTGTTTATTCAGCTGTACCAGAGCTAACTAAGTGCCGGGATTTTTTTGAATACTGTTCCCGCGAGAGCTTGCATTTCTCACGAGATGTCTCGTCCAATCCGCGCCTCCGAGACAAACAAGAGGACGGACTTGCAGCGTCTGCGCAGGTGCAGGCGCCACGCCCGCGATTTAGGCTTCCTTGAGCTGTTTTCCCGCTACGTATCTGCTTTACGTGAACTGTGTTTCTGGATTTTATTTATCTGTTGTCGTCTGTAACAGCGCCGTTGTAGAGGCAGTGTCGCTGGTCAGTGTGGGGCTGACACCACCTTGTGGCCCGGCGGTCCTGTCAACCCCACCCTGGCCTGCGTGCTGTCATCCGCTGTAGCTCAGGCGTTTTGTCTCCCCGGTTCCGGGACGGTGCCACATTCCACACGGAACCCCCAGTTAGGCCCGCAGACCACCTTGCCAAGTCCACGGCATCCTTCGGTTTGCACAGAGGAAACCAAAGCCTCCCCCAAAGAATTGTGACCTGCCAAAGTCATGGAGCTGCTGTTCAAACGCACGCCAGATGTTCTGCAGGACAGCTGAGGCGCATGCGTATTTAAATAGAAATGTCTTGCAGTAGGATCAAAAACCCAACGCCATTGTTCTGACGAGGGAGGGGGACTTGATTGGGGGAGGGGGAGGGAAATGGGAGGCGGTGGTGGGGAAGAGACAGAAATCTTTGTTTGTTTGTTTGTTTGTTTGTTTTCGAGACAGGGTTTCTCTGTGGCTTTGGAGCCTGTCCTGGAACTAACTCTGTAGACCAGGCTGGTCTCGAACTCACAGAGATCCGCCTGCCTCTGCCTCCCGAGTTCTGGGATTAAAGGCGTGCGCCACCATCGCCCGGCATTTATTTATTTTTTTGTTTTTTGTTTTTGTTTTTTTTTTCAGAAATCTTTAATAAATCCAATTTAAAAAATAAATAGAAATGTCTTGCAAATATACTAATTCTTTTTTTAAAAAGTTTAAGCACTTGGAAATCTGGAGAATTCAAGTACCTGGTACATGGCATCATTTCTTGTGTATCTAAGGACTTGCCTCTGTCTCCTTTCTCATCATGTTTCACAGTGCTGAGTTCTCCCCATCAGTAGATGAAGGTGCCGACATGACTCATTGCAAAATCCAATCAAAACTTCCCTGACTCCAGTCAACCACAGCCCTATTTCGTTTTTATGTATATAACAAAATTTCTAAGGAAGGTTTTTCACTGTCCAGTTTCTATTATTACTATGATGATGATTTTTGAGACAGGGTCTTCATGTACCTCTGGCTGTCCTGGAACTCACTCTGCAGACCAGGCTGGTCTTGAACTCACAGAGATCCACTTGCCTCTGCCTCCCAAGCTCTGGAATGTTGTAGAATATTAGTTTTAAAAAATGTGTTACATTAGTTTCTGCTGGGAAACATTTGTTTAAGAATGCAAAGATGTGTTGCATTCTTTCATGTAACATCTGTTTAACTCTGTAAAACTGTGTTTCTTTACCTGTCTGAAACACCTGGTTGGTCTGATAAAGAGTTGAACCGCCAAAAAGCAAAGGAGAAAGGACAGGTGGGCTGGCAGGCAGACAGAAAAAAAAAAACAACCAGAAACAGAAATCTGGGAGGAGGAGATCAAAGAGCCAGAAAAGAAGGGGCCAGCTACACGCTAGACACAGAATAAGGAAGAAAAAAAATACAGAAATAGAGAAACGTAAAAGCCCATGGGCAAAAGGTAGACCTAATAATTTAGGAAAAGCTGGCTAGAAACAAGCCAAGCTAAGGCCAGGCACTCATAAGAAAGAATAAACCTCTGTGTGTATTTATTTGGAATCTGGGTGGTGGGCCCCCAAAGAGTCAAAGAGCCAAAAGAGGAAAAAAGAAAACAAGCAAATACACCGGGGTTAGTTTCTTTTATTATTCTGGTATTTCCATCAACTGGGGTCTGGTCTTAAGCTAGTACAGTGAATTGTCTCTTGACAAGATCACCAGTGATTTTTTTTTTTACATGCAGGCCAAATATGAACTGCGCCAGTACAACACGCCAGGGATTTCTACCCTGCGTTGTCTCCTCCCCTTTCCTGCATCCCCCCTTAATATCTTGATTGTCATCCCCCTTGACTCCCAGCCTTCATATTCATGTGTAGACCTCTGTTTCCGAGGGATCTTGACTAGGCTTTAAAGGATTGAGCTGACTTTAAGATAAGCAACAGTGATCTTTCAAGCATATGTAGTCATCCCTGAGTTCTTGATTAAATGAAGCAAATTCTGTTTCCTCTGTTATTTTCAAATTCCTTGGCTCAGGAGTCTGGAAGATAACCTTTAGCCTTAGCCAGTCAGGACTAGTTGGTAAATAAAATCTTTATGAACTCCTTTTTTTTCTCCTTTGTTTCACGAGACGATAATTCATATATCTCTCATGTAAAGGGTTAAGAGACCACAGTGAGGCAGAGAATAGGAGGATGTGATAAAATGTACCATCGAGGAGTTGCTCACAATGTAATGTATTACTTACATATATTTAATTTATATTAAAAATTAGAGCT